TCTCTCTCTCTCTCTCTCTCTCTCCAGTACTAACCTGTGAAGTTGGCGCCTTGATGCAGGTACCTTGAAGATGGAGCTGGAGCTATGGCGCCACAGGTAAGTCACGCTGGCCTCCGCCAGCTATCTCTCCCAACTCTACTATCTACCACCTACTAGCGCCCAGCGCTGAAGACTACTGCTATGGCTATGGGCGCCCAGCGCCGAAGACTACAGCTAACGCTGAAGACTACTGCCTAGCGCTGAAGACTACTGCAACGCTCGTCCTGAGTGCTGCGGCCGAATCCTGAAGACTACTCGTGCCTACTGACAACTACCTACCAGTGAAGTGCATGGGAACTGCCTATGTACTACCGGGTGCCTCCTGACTGCAGGCGAGGCAGTCCAGGAGGCTGCTCTTGCCAATGCCGAAGGGAGGCAGGGGCTGCAGCTGCAGCTCCTGCTCGAGCTGTCGTGGGGAACAGGCTAAAGATAGCCTGTTCCGAAAACCCTGTTTTTGTGCCTGAGTCCTAGGGTCGGTCGAAACGATGAGGGCCTGAAAATGGCCCTCCGTTTCAGGTTGAAAAGCCTCTGGGCCTGCCTGAAAGGCCCAGAAATAGGCTGAAAACGGAATAGGGCCTGCAGGCCCTCGTTTTTAAGTTTCAGGCTGAAACTACCGGGGCCTGTAAGCCCTATTTTCTAGCCTTTTAGGCTGAAAGTGCGGGACGGCCCCTGCAGGGCCCGTGTGGCTACGCAGTATGCCACACCGGTGGTGCAGAAGAGCTGCGCGAGTCAGAGCAGATCTGGACTGAGCCGCGGGTGACAAACTTGCCGAATTGCCAAAATGTCGCCACGTGGCGCCAGCATGTGATCGCCGAGAGCTCGCTCAGTGAGAAAACTCATGGCGATGGGGATGGAGACGGGGTATGAGAAGGGGCGAGAGATGCAGGAGGGGATGAGAGCGAAAAAGAATCGTCGTCCTCCTCTGTAGTGAAGGAGGAAGCAGACACAGCTGGAGATGGGGAGGAAGGGAGAAGACATAGATAGGACACGTGGCGGACGATCGGTCGAGCGAATCGGCTTCCCGAGACCTCCAGCACGAGGCGCACGGTATCCACTCCGTTCGGGCCGAGTTCGATCACACGAAATCGCCCAAAGAATCGTGGCGCTATCTTCCCTTGGCGAGCACATTTCCTCACCTGCACCAGGTCCCCTAATTTATATTGGGGCCGTGGTCCCGCATTCCCATTCCGGGCCTCGTAACTACGGACCTGTCGGCCGTGGGCCAACCCAGACATTTTCTGGCGCTTCCGGGCTAATCGGGGAAGGGACCGTTCCATCAGCTCCATGTGTCGCTTGGCCTTGTCCCGAACCGTGGCTCTTGTGGGCCGTCGGTTCAATGAGGATTCATCGGGGAGGCTCGGTATCAAGACACAAGCTATGCTATTGGTTCGTAATTGGAAGGGGCTAAGGCTCGTCCATTCGTGAGGCGTTCCTCAATGGACCGCTAGGATCTGATCTACGATATCGGCCCAGGGCCTCGGGTCCCGGGTCGCAACGTTTCGTCGCAATGCTGTCTTTATCACCCGATTTGCGTTTTCTACCAGGCCGTTAGACTGTGACATGTGGGGTGCAGTGTTCCGAATGGCGACGCCATGTACGACTAGATTCCTTAAAACTTCCCCTCTGAATTCTACCCCATTATCGGTCAGGATTTCTTATGTGTCCTGATGCATCCCTAAGAACCGGTTGACATATCGCGCGATTTCAGCCGCCTGTCGCGTACGACATGGATATGCCTCGATCCATTTCGAGAAGTGGTCTACAAAACCAGGAGGATTGAATATGCGCAGCTGTTAGGTCTTAGGGGGCACCACAATATCGGTAGTATCCATGCTAACCCTTTGAAAAGGTCGTTCGACTACCGTTGGCAGTATCGATCTTGGTGGCTGAATCGGTGCTTCGTCAGCAGCGCAGACTTGACAGTTCGCGACGATGAATTTCACATCCTCGCGAATATTGGACCAATACCATTCATTCTTGTCGATTGCCGCTTCCGTGATTCGTACGGCAAAATGGGCTGCAGTTTCTTCGTGCGCCGTCTTAACCCAGTCGTACCTCATGAACGGGTGCGACACTACCATCCAAATCCCACTACCATCCGTCTTTCGTTTCTCTAACCGGCCCTCGTTCCAGCGATAGTCCCGAGCCCTTTCATTGGCCCTCCTCCGATCCTCCTTAGTGAAGTCTTGGAGGGGGTTACCTATCAAGGTAGCTATTAGAGCGATATCCGTCCATACCTCGACCCTTCTGAACTTCAGGGTCTTTTCCAACTCTTCCGACGTGGCGTCAAGAAATCGAGCCTCGGTCGGGATCTTATCAACCCGACACAAGGGACACAACCAAGGCTTATTGCCATTTCT